GTGTGTGTGTGTGTGTGTGTGTGTGTGTGTGTGTGTGTGTGTGTGTGCCCAGCTTCAATATTTAAATGATCACTGGCACTAAAAGCTCACAAACCTTCGCTAAAACCAAGAAAGGAAATCTTAGGATCTGTGCATTGTCAATCATTATTGAGTGAGTTCTCCAGTTTTCACTTTTCTTGCTTTCTTCCCATGCTTAAATATCTACAGAAGATGAATGTATATATGAAAGAATTCAGTAATCTAGCACAGATTCTTAGCTTCTTTGCAATATCAACATCTTCCCCACTACTCACATCTCCCCCAAAATAAATTAATGCATTTTAAAAACAGATGTTCCCGAGAGCCTGGTGAGTATATAGGAAACATTATATATAATTAGATATTTCATAGGATTGTGGATTTAGAGCTGGAAGGAAACCTACAGACAGGCCAGGAAACTGAGGCCCAGCAAGGTTTGCTAACCAAGGGTTACACAGCTAGAGTTTGAGACCAGATTCTAATCCAGCTTTTCCTGACGCTAAGTCTAATGCCCTAACCACTGTACCATATTGCCTCTGAAAAGTGATAATAATAGCAATAACAGCTAAGATTATTTATAGCACCTACTATGTGCCAGGCACTGTGCTAAGTGTTTTACAATTATTATCTCATCTGATCCTCACAACAATCCTGAGAAGGTAGGTGCTAAAATTATCCCCATTTTACAGATGAGGAAACTGAGGCAAAGAGAGGTTAAGTGACTTGCCCAGGGTCACAAAGCTAGTAAGCGTCTAAGCCCATATTTGAACTCAGGTCTTTCTAACTCCAGGCCTGAGACTATCCACTATAGCACTTAGCTGCCCCACAAGTAGAGTCTAAAACTTTGCTTGCTCAGGACTGGTTGTGTGGCCTGATTTTACTAATGTCCTTTCTCACAGTAATATACCTGCTGGAAGTCCCCTGGAAGAAGTGAATGTATTCCTTTTCAAGAATGACATCAGCAAATACCTGACACTCACACAAGCTATAGGCCATATATGGTAGGTATGTCATAGACCTTGGTCATACAGGCGATCAATCTGAACGGGTTTGAAGTACCCGAACAATACAGTATCTTCAAATGTTATACTTGGGGAAACAATCTGGTGGAGATGGATTATTTGTTCTTTGTCGTCACAACAGGTCTTCAGCAGCAATATGAAAGGATGGCCCGCAGTCAAATGGGGAGAAAATGGCGGAGGGTGGGGGAAGGCAGAGGAACAAGCATTTATTAAGTACCTACTATATGCCAAGACTGTGCTAAGCACTTTACAGATATATTTCATTTGATCGTCACAACAACCTTGGGATGCAGATTGCTGTTATTGTCTCCACTTTACAGTTAAGGAAACTGAGGCAGGCAGAAATGAATAAATATGCCCACGGTCACACAGCGTGTAAATATCTGAGGATGGATTTGAACTCAGGTTTTTCCTAACTCTGGGCCCAGCTCTCTCTTTCCACTGTGCACCTAGATGCTTAATACACACAGTCAATAAGTGAGAAAGCATGTATAGCTTAAAGAGGGCTGGACTTTCAGATAGAAAAGATTGTCATTTGAATTTCATTTCTGATACGTAATAGCTGTGTGACTCTGGGCAAGTCATTTCTCCTCTGAGTCTTTGTTTCTTCAATTATAAATTGAGGAAAAGATATTATACTTATAATACCCAGTGACACATGAGATAATATGTTAAGGAGCTATGTAAACCTTAGAGTACCATATAAATGTCAGCTATCATTAAGTATTAGAATCAGAATTTAAACACAAGTTTTCTGAATTAACTCTGGCACATTAGATCATAGGGGTCAGGTGGGTATAGAGGTTAATGTATAGGTACTCTAAAGACAAACCATTCCAGTATCTTTGCCAAGAAAACTTTAAATGGGGTTACACAGGTCAGACACAAATGAAATGACTGACCAACAACAACGACGACCCTAAGTCTGGGTGAGGTAGTGAATTCCAGAGCCTGGATGCTTCAGCAAAGGTGAGCAATCATAGTTCTATACAGAGAGCAAGTTGAGCTGCTTAATAAAGATTTACCAAGTGAAGTAAGGAAGAGCAAGTAGATACCAAGGGTCCTGGTTCAGGATAGAATCTGGTGAGGAATACATCCCAGGAACATATGATACAAGACAAGAATCTGAACCAAGAAACTGGTTAACAAAACAAGAGTGAACCTCACAGTAACCTTGTATGGTTCGTAGTACCAGCAATGTTATCATTCACATTTTACAGATGAAGAAACTGAGGCTCAAAGAAACTTAGTGTTTTGTAACAGATCTCAGACCTTGGAAGAAGTGAAGTCAAAACTCAGACCCACATCCTCTGACTTCTAACCTAGCCCCATTCCTGACTGCAGACTTTTCTCCTTTTATCTATCTTTTCTCACTTCCTCCTCCAATTGGGGAGTTCCTGACTAGAAACTCCATTTGAGAAAGTGGCCAGACCGACCCTGCTCACTTTTAACCCAGTACCACTCCTGACTCTCCAGACTTTTATACCTTGACTTTCCCCCTTTTAATATGTTGTTTTGTCTCATTAGAATGTGAGCTCTTTGAGAAGAGGAACTGTCTTTCTTTTTCCTTGTATAGGTATTTCCAGCACTTATCACAATGCTAAGCACATAATAAGTACTTAATAGATGCTAGCCAGCTAGCTATCAATCTATCACCTATCTCTCCAAGTTGAGTACTCTGTCCTCCATACCACAAGGGAACTGTAAAAACCACAGGGGCAGGAACTATGTCCTATTATTTTCTCTTATACTAGGGGTTCTTAACCTTTTTTGTATCATGGACCTCTTTGGCAGTCCAGTGAAGCATCTGGACCGCATCGCAGCAGAATATTTTTAAATGCATAAAATAAAATACATAGGATTGCAAAAAAAAATTATATTGAAATATAGTATTGGGGGAAAATTTTTTTTTAAGTTCACAGGACAGTGCTGGGAACATGATAAATAAGTGCTCAATAAAAATGTGTTAATTGATTGATTCCATTATTAGTGGAAAAAGCATTAGACTGGGAGACTGGAGATGAGTTCTACTTCTGGCTTGATGACTAACCTTAAGTGTGCGTAAAGTAAGGGGATTAGACGTGCTCTTCCCTCTTCCTTCACAGAGGTGGCAGGCTATTAGTGTGGGACACTCCATCCACTGTCAGACTTGGTTAATGTCTTAATTTGCTTTGTTGAACTTTTGTTGTTTTCTCTTTTTTATCCTTTATTACAAAGGATGTCTCAAGAGAAGGGGAAGGATGGTACACTGGGTAGAGGAGGAAAGGGGGAATATATTCAGAAATGAAAGTGACATAAAAACTAACAACGATGAGATAAAAACCAAAAGATCAATGAAAATTAAATATTTTTATATAAAATAAGCAAATGGTTTTAAAAAGTGACTCAAAATAATGAGCATGAAACATAGAAATGGAACTATTTATAACTATAAACATGTTTAAAATTCTTAATTTGTGAATTAAAAATTCATTTTTTAATGAGTAGATGATCTCCTAAGTCTTTTCAAATGTTAAGATTCTGTGATTCTAGCACTACCTTATTATTTAAATCCCAAATAGAATCCCATTTTTATAGGAAACCTTTCCTCTTTTAATTCTAATGCCATCCCTTTCTTAATTGCTTCCTATTTATCCTTTACAGATAACTTGTTTGTGGATATTTGTCTGCATGTCATCTCCCCTTCCCCCATAAATTGGGAGCTCCTTGAGGGCAGGGCTTGTCTTTTGCCTCTTTTTGTATCCCCAGTGCTTAGCACAGTAACTGGCACATAGTAGGCATTTAATACATGTTGATTGACTGATTGTTCAAGTAATGTATGATACAATGAACTACAGGAGATATTAATGTTACCAACATTATTGGGGTCAGAGCCAGTGTGGGCTAGGGATAAGTCATATTTTTGTTCTGGTCATCTAATGTAGAGTGTGTCTCACATCTACCTTACCTGCTCTTGGTGATATCTCCCTGCTGCAGTGTTGCTCAGTGGGAAGGCCCCCCACACTTGGGATGTATATTTCACCATGGTGATCGCTTGTCAGCTGTGAATGACCTTAAGCCACATACCCTGGAGGAAGTAGGCTTATTCCTGGACAGGTCCTTAAGGAAAGAGGTAAGCCCTATTAAAGGACCTGAGTTGGGACAGGACAATAAGAGAAAAAAAAAACAACTAAATATTATCACCTTACATTTTTCAAAACTCATTCACATAGTCATAGATTTGGAACTGGAAGGGATCTAAGAAGTCACCTCCTTCATTTTACAGAGGACACCAAAAGCCAGAGAGGTTAGATAATATGACTAAAGTCACACAGGATCTTGATAGTAAATTGAAGAATCTGGATTTGAACTCAGGTCTTCTGATTCCACACTCATATCTAGTATCTCATTCTTCATAGAAACCTTGTGAGATACATAGGGCAAGTCCTCTAATTATCTCACTTGTGTAAATGAGAAAATTGAGACCCAGGGAGGATAAATTCAAACCCATACTCCTAATTAGTGGCAGAACTGTCCCTAATGTGGTTCTCTTTTCACTACACCACAATACTGTTGTCCAATGGTCATACTTGGGTCATACATAGATAGGGCTTGGGTACTAAGCAGTAAGTTACCACCAATGAATACTCTGAGATAACATGGCCAGGATGCTATTTAGGAACCTGAGCCAATCTGGGAACTGAGCCCAGGAGAGACTGATGCCAGTTTCTCAGCAGAGTCGTCCTTCATGTGTCAAGGTGATGACTATATTCCTGTTAGACCTCCTGGAAAATGTCTGCAGCTCAGTATATCTCACTCGCTGCAACCCCGAACCCCTAGGAGCTGGCAGCAGTTGTCATTGGCAGGGCCAGCGTTTGGCATAGTCAGAGTACATACCTACATGATGATTTGGAAGTCCAGGAAGATCCCTCACCCCTCCAACCCAATGCTTAAAATTCCAAAAACATCAACTTATCCCTTCCTATAAAGCATTTCTCTGTTGATTATTCTATTTTAAAATTTATATGCTGTGGAGGGAGTGTCTAGGATTTCCCACTTCCCATCTGATGTTAGCCCAGAAAAGGACATTAGAAAGGCCAACTCCTTCTGATTGTAAAGGTGAATCATCTTTTTTAGTTTTGTTCATTTCATGGGTTGTCCTGCCCTGAAAGTTAATCACATTCTAGCAATGAGTCTCTCAGTGCTTAGCTAGACTGGTTCTCCAACAACAGACAGATACTCTTGGACCCATATTCAAATCCTTTTAAATCTTTTGGACCTGCCAGAGATTACACTTCATTGGCATACCATTTGAGAGCCCATGGGTACCTTTAGGCTATGAGGAGGTATCATGTAAGATTTTATCAGAGGAATAATGTCAGCTCACAGGTCAATAGCATTTACATTTTACAAAGCACTTTTCTCATAACTGCAGATAGTACAGACATTTCCATCCCCATTTTTTAGACTAAGAAACTGAAAGTCAGAGTAGTTAAATAACTCATCTAAGGTAGCCTAAGGCAGAGCTGGGCCCTCAGATTCTGTCTTCTGACTCTTAATCTGATGCTAATTCTACTGCACCACACTCCTACACTCTAAGCCTTAACCTGAATTTATCAGCTCAATTTTCTTTCCTGATGTGAGAGGCAGAGCAGAAAGAGAACAGTACTTGGCTGGCTGGGAGATGCCCAGAAAGGGTTGGTGAGGTGGGAAGAAGAGGAGAATACAAAAAAAGGAGGCATGTAGAGAGAAGAGAGGGCCTGAGGAAAATGTTTGCTTGGAGCTGAACCTGCCTGCCAGGCTTATTGTGAGCCATATATTTAACTTTTCATGAAATCAATTCCATCTGAATATTGTGAGATCTGCTCACCTGGCTCTGTCAGAAAGGCTCAGGCCACCAGAGGCCAATGTATTCCAGAAAAGAGGAAAGCCAACACCCTCTTCTCAAAAGTGAATTTAAAGTGGTTCCTAGGCAGCAGTGGATAGAGTGCTGGGCCTGGAGTCAAGGAGTCTCATCTTCCTGATTACAAATCCGACCCAGACACTTACTAGCTGTGTGACCTTGGGCAAGTCACTTAACTCCATTTGCCTCAGTTTCCACATCTGCAAAATGAGCAGGAGAAGGAAATGGCAAACCACTCCGTTACCTTTGCCAAGAAAATTCCAAATGGGGTCATGAGGAGTCAGACATGACTGAACAACAACAAAAGTGGTTCCTGCCAGCCCAGATAGTATAGGTGACCAAAAGATTTTCTTTGATGAGAACTCCAGTTGATACACTGAGAGGACTCATTATCCTGGGCAAAAATCTTTCAGGACTGTACGTACATACATATATACATACATATGCACACACACACACACACACATATACATATATATAGAGAGAGAGAGAAGTATATAGAGAGAGAGGTATATGTGTATATATATATATAGATGTAGGTATATGTGCATACAAATATATACATGTATATGCATATGTATGCATATGCATTCATGTGCATGTATGCATGAGTGTATATTATGTGTATATGCACTTATGTATGTGAATTATATATTTCTTTTCCTCTGTTTCATAAGGTGAAATTGACCATCTGCCGGATCCCTGATTCAGATAAATTCCACACTGTGGCCTGTGCCTGTTCTTGAAAAACACCATTTTGGTTAAGGTCAGGTGGGAACCATTCCCACTACAGATATGCAGTGAAAGCATGTGAACAAAGAGTTATCAATATGAATTTCAAATAAGAATGGAGGAGGAGGATTGAATACTAACATATAAAAAGGATGCTTCAAGTCACTACTAATAAGAGAAAATGCAAAATTGAAACAAGCCTGCAGTTCTACCTCACACATGGAAACCAGAAAAATGGTGGAAGATGGGAAGAGTCAATGTTGGATGTGCTGTGGGAAAAATGGGCACAATCATACATTATTGGTAGAGCTGTTCATTGGTCCAGTCATTCTGGAAAGCATTTTAGAATTATGTGGAGTGATTAAAATAGCTGCTAGACATAGACAGTAAGGTAATCAAGACCAAAAACAAAGTGCCTATATATGCCTAAATTAATAGCAATATTTTTGTATGTGGCAGCAAAAAATTGTAAACAGAGTAGATGTCCACTCATCAGAGAATGACTAAACAAATTTTTGTAAGTGAATGCCTGGGATATTACTATGCTATAAGAAACAATTAACACCATGAATACAAAGAAACATAGAGAAATGTATAATTGATTCAAAGTGAAGTAGCAGAACCAAGAAACCACGTACAGAGTGACTATAACATTGTAAATGGAAAGAGCAATAACAATGACAAAAAAAATTAAAACAATGCTCTATAATTATAATAACATCTTGGCTCCTTTGCTGAAATGAAGGACCATACGTATAGAATACTGCATATAATATCAATTTTTTTCCAATATGTTGGTTGGTTTTAATGAACTACTTTTCTTTATCTTTAAAAGAAATTCATTATTATAAGGGATGGTTCTGTGGGAGGGGGCAAGGAGAAAGATACAGTGGGAAGTGTTGGGGGTGCAAAAACCAAAGACATCAATAAATTTTTTTTAAAAAAAGAATCAAAGTAACACTATTTATGGCTAAGATGGGTCTGGGTGAGCAAAAGTCTTAATAAGAATCCAAACTTGTTGAAAGAACTTCTGTAATTTGACCCTAACAGAAAAGGCCCAGGGAAAATGGGTCCATCTTCTACTCAGTTTTCAAATTGATCTTGAGTGGTGTCCCAAAAACCGAGAGAGGAAAAGAAGGGGATTGACAGTGTTCAAAGTTGCAGAGAGGTCAAGAATAAGGATGGAGAAAAGGCCAATGGATTAAGAGCTGCATCCCAGGAGATGTGGAATGATTCACTTAAGGCCTTTGGGTCACAGCTTCCACATCTATAATATGGGAATAATAATTACTTCCCCTACAGGAACTAGATTGTACGGTGGATAGAGCTCTGGGCTTGGAATCAAGAAGACTCATTTTCATGAGTTCAAATCTGTCCTCAGATACTTATTAGTTGTGTGACCCTGGACAAGTCACTAAACCCTGTTTGCCTCAGTTTCCTCATCTGTAAAATGAACTGGACAAGGAAATGGCAAACCACTCCCGTATCTCGGACAAGAAGACCACAAATGGGGATATGAAGAGTCCAATATGACTGAAAATGACTAAACAACAAAAACCAATAACAACAATAACATTTTTTCAATGTTTTGGTAATTTAATTTGGATTACATTTTGCATATACAGAAATATTTTGCAAAATTGTATTTTATCCAATCTATATCACTATTTTCATGGCTTCATTGCATTTACCTGTTTCAGCAAATATTTACTGAGCACCTAATGAGTATAAAACACTATGCTAGGCCCTCTGAGGGCTACAAAGTAAATAGAACCCTGGATCTAGAACTAGAAGACCCAAAGAGGTTAGAGGATTTGCCCAAGGTCATCCAGGTGCCATAACTTGTATTTGAACTCAGGTCCTTAGGACCAACCTTTCAATCTCAGCTCTCCTACTTCCTAACCAATGCCCTTGGACAAGCCTCTTCAATTCTGTGGGCCTCTGTTTTCTTCATCTATAAAAAGGTGTTGACCAGTCGACCTCTAAGGGTCACTTACAGCTCTAAATTCTGTGACTTTCATTTTTAGCGGGTATCTAGTTTGAAAGGTTTTTCCCAGGAAGGGAAAAAACCCAAATCTGATGTGATTCCTTATTTTGTATTCTGTCAAGATAACCTGGTGTTGCCAGTAACTATGATGCTGTTCACTCTGACCTAGAGGAAAAAAATAAAAGGAAGGTAGCATGGAGACAGATTGATCTGGATTAATCTATTATCTTAAGGGCCCAGGAAAATATTTTATACATCATAAGTTTTAGGTCACATCCACCAAGAGCTATCTTGCTTAACAAGAACTGAGAAAAATACTTAGGATTTTTAATCTTTAGAGCCCTTTAAGAGCATTAACTAACTCATTCTGTGAGGCAGAAAGAACCATATCCCATTTCACAGATAGGGAAACTGAGGCTAAATAGGCAACATAATCATATACTCAAAGAGCTGGACAAATTCATGGAGATCACCCACTCTAACTTTCTCATTTTATTAATGATGAAATTGGGGCCCAGAGAGGGGAAAAAGTCACACTGCTTGTGAGTTGTATGACCGCTGGCAAGCCATATGGTCACACAGTAGAGGTGGTGTAAGGTCATGGAAAGAACATAGATTTCAGGATAAGAGATCTGGGTTTGAAGCCTGGCTCAACAATTTACTACCTCTGTGTCATTTCTGAGACTCCCTCAGTTTCCTCATCTGTAAAGTGAATGCTGTTGTTCAGCTGTTTCATTCATGTCTGACTTTTAATGACTCTATTTGGGGTTTCCTTGGCAATGATACTGGAGAGGTTTACTATTTCCTTCTCCAGCTCATTTTATAGATGAGGAAACTGAGGCAAACAGAATCACACAGGGTCACACAACTAGTAAGTGTCTAAAGTTAGATTTGATTCCAGGCACGGTGCTCTATCTACTGTGCCACCAGAGGATGGCTCTAGGCTTTTCTGGCTCATTTCTATTCATCATGACTACTTCCACTGTGAAGAGAATCAAGGGACATTGGATATGACAAACATCAAATAATATCACAAAATGAAACTTATCATAGTCTAACACACAGGGAACTGCTGGTTATCGATACAAGAACCATTTCTTAAAGAGTTGTCTTTGTAAAGTCAGACCACATGTTAGAGCAGAGAGAAAAATCAATGCCAAACTAGAAGAAGGAATGAAAATGAGAAGATATGAGTGTAAGTGGGGAAACTCCGACTTACTTCCTAAACGATGATATGCAGTTAGATGGACAACCTACAGAGCTGATCTAGCAGTACATATGTCTAAGACAAAAACTGCACGTGTTCATGAGCTGGGCCCAGAATTGAACATGAAGAGAGTGGGCAGGATTTCCTTTGGAAAAATGTACAGAGCTTTAAATTACTCTAAGCTTCTCCCTGAAACAGAAGTTCATGGGTTTTTGTTTTTTTTTTTTTAAACTCCAGTATTCTTCTAGTGATATTGCAGAGCTGCAAGTCATGTAATCATTTATAGAATATCATGGAATATCTCTAAAGAATCAAAATTGAAGGCTCAGATTCTTAAAATCTAGTCAAATGCTCAGATTCTTAAAATCTAGCCACTAGCTAATCAATGCTCATATTCCTTAAAGAGTCTGGCCAATATGGCAGATCTTTAATCTTGTCTTTGGCCAAAAGGAGGCTTGGGTTGAATTCATTTTGGCAGGACCTATGCGTCATGATTTTGGGATCCCAGCACCCCTAAACCTCTAGGCCTCAACATTTTGGTAGCCTGTATGGGGAAGCTGCCTAACCCCAAGCTCTTCTCTAGCTAAGAATGTAAGCCTCCCCCCTTCTTTCTTGCCCTGCAGTTGGAATTGCTCTCCAAGCACCTAGAAGGCTTGAAGGTGCATTTTGGGCAGACAGTCACAAGGCTGTCTTGCACTCGGCCTGACACTCTCAGGTTCTTGGTCCACTGGTTTGATTTGAGGCTATGGACCTGGGTATACCTTCCAGAGCATAGAGGACAAGGACAGACACCCTATCTGGAAGTGTATGCCCAGTTTTGTCAATTCTCTCAGTGTTAGGGAATTGGGAATACTGCAGGTGCTTTTTGGTTCCCCAAGGCTTACTTACTCCCTTCCCTCTACATCCCTGAATCCTCCTTCAAGGAGGCTACAGGGAAAAGTTAGAACAGCTGAAAACATCTTAGCAGGTTTTGTGATGAATCATTAAGGAGTTTTGAAACATCTCCTTCCAACCGTGGTCATTCCCTTTTCCCACTTCCTTCCTTTGAGTCAAGAGGGTATCTGTTAACCCTTCTCATAGGAGAAGAGAGCTTCACCCTTCCCCCAATCACCTTCAAATGCACCCTTCCCCAAAAGAAAGGAGGGGGGAAGGGCAGCAGCCACAGCATGGGCCCCACTGGCAATGACTTTGTGCCCTGGGGCAACCTTTGCGTGGAAGCATTACCTAGGTCCAAGCACATCCTGCTCAAGGTAAAGAAGCTAGCCTCCGAACTTAACCACTCTTTTAAAATTGTAGTTTTAACTGTTAATGATGAGATATTGATTCTTTGTGTAAAGTAATTTGGAAATGCATTTAACAAAATTGAAGTCACCTGATTGGTAATGGATTTGTCTCAAGTTTCAAACTGGTGAACTTTTTGTATCAGTTATGTCAAGTAACTTTTCATGATTTGGTTACTGCTAAAATAATATGGCTATTGTTGGTTGTTGTTTTAATGTGTAAACTAGCCAAAAAGCTTATTTGGGTTTTGGCTTGCTGAGAATTTGCAAGTCTATAGAAATAATCTCTATCGATTGGCTTTTTTACACCAGGACAAATTTAAATTTGAGATGTAAATCCTGGAAAAGTTTTTCCTAAACTGTGATTAATGAAACTTGATGTTTGAGGTAAAAGGGATGGGATTTTATTTTGAGTTGTCTAATGGATCACAATAATCCATCGATAATCAATAATCCACCATCTGAGAGAAATGCCACAAGCTATTCAGAGAGAATGTGATATACTGGTGGGAAGTCAGCATCAGGAAAATCTGAGAGGACAATTTTAGCCTCAGTCTAAGGTGGGAGCCTCCTGGCTCAGTTTCCACATTATGTTTTTTTGAAAAGGAATGTTACCCACCCGGTTATTCCTGAGTCTGGCTATGAGGTGGATTTGATACTGCATGGTTGGAAAACTGAATTATCTGAATCCAAACAGAACTAAGGATGTTTTATCCTATCATATTTGGGCCCTAAATCTAGTCCCTGCTTTATCTTTTTATAGCAAATTTCTATAATCAGAGCAAGTGGTCAGTAAAAGACCAATGAAAGTGTGTGAGATCTTGATGTTTTGACCTGAAGGTGTAGTCACTCAATACCCCAAAACAACTGAAATTGAGTCAGAAACATCTTCAGTTTGGTTTGGGGAGGAAAATTTCAGTGATAATTGAAGTGAAAGTTAGTCTCTGGTAAATTAATTTGTGTACCTATTGAACCCAGGGGTAGAAAACTTTTACCTGCAAAAGCGTTATTTAAACTTTTGAAAAAGTAACAAGATCAGATAATCCTACAGGTCAAATATAAATGATTTTAATGGGGCTCTAACACTTTCACTTCTCTTTATATCTGGGCCCTGCAGTCTTTTCTGTCAGATTTGTGTCTTCCAGACTACAGGCCATCCACCTACAGTTGGTAGCAAGTAGCGGGTACCAGCCAATGTTCCCCCATTATACCCTGGATGCAGCCTGTGCTCGGTTCCAGTCAACTTCCTCTTTGGGACCCTGCTAGGCAGGGACAGCTCCATGCCCTTGCCAGTAGGAAGCAGTTTCAGAAACCAAGACCTTCGCCCTTACCCCAAAAGAATTTGGGTCCCATTTGTTCGAGGGGGAAATAATGGGGATGGGATCTGAACCCCTAAAAGGAAAAGACTATGTCTTTGGAATCTGAACCCCCAAAAAGAAAATCCCTGGACTTTTCCCAAAGCTCTGGCAT